CAGTAGGAACGAAAAAGAGGGACGAGAGTGAGGTTTAGTGGCAGGATGGATGAATTCTGGACGCCAGAGATTCAAATGAGTGAGATTTAAGCCGTGCTCTCGGTGAATTAACGATCTAGTTGGCACAGCCTGTAAATGCTCAACCTCGTTACATAATGCTGTATTCAAAGCTACACATACAGTAAGATTATCTCATCCTCTGTGTCCTTCTGGTAGGAAATACAGAGGTTTTCACTTTTGTTTTTTTCGGGGGAAATTTCCAACTGGAAGAGTTTTAATCCCAGTCATTTTTGATGTGGGTAATTAGAAAAGGAAAGAACTTAAGATTGAAAAATACTTAGATGTGGCTGGTAAAGCAGATGGCAGAAAAAGAGAAATTTTTGCAGTGAAACTTAAAGATGAGGGAAAGCAAACGCAGGCCCCAGGACTGTAGTCTGGCAGCTTCTGTGGGCAGGCGGAGACGTGTGGGGCAAGCCACCAACATCTGCTCTGGCAGGACTGACGCCCGCCGGCAGCTCTAAGGCCGTGGTGTCATTCTGGGTACCGGGGAGCGGTATCCCTGATATTTGAGAAGTGTCAGCCAAGAGTAGCAAGTGTCCACAGATCATTTCTATCTCGTGCGTCCCAAGTACTCTTCACTTTTGTGGCCTCAGCAGGACCTAGGTGGCAGAGGTGCACAAGTCTGAGTTATAAAGCGAAAGCGTAATGTGTGAATGCAGAGCCGGGCACAGAAAGGAAACCCTCATACACATCTTCATTCTGCGCATGTCATTTACAGCAAAATTAATTTTTCACCGGCCACGTGTGAGACTGTAGGGAGAGGAGGGTCAGAAGTGTCCAGTGACAAAGGAGCACAGTAGTATCCATTATTTCAAGTTTAAAGTGTTTAAAGGGGCTTTTCTATTTTCTCTATTGAGTCGACTGAGTTTTAAATTTCACTTTAAATAAAAATATTGATGAGGAATTTCATAGATTCATTTATAACTTTACTCTCTAAAACTGTTATTCTCTATCAAGTCTTAAATTTAAGAAAACCGTAAATTCTATAGAACTCTATCCTAAGAGAGCAAATTTTCATGGAAACGCAGAAGAGCAAGAGATTCATTCTGCCCAGAAAGAAATATGGGTGAGGGATGCAAGGGGAAGTGACATTTGAATTGGGCCTTAAGAATGAGAAGGGTTTCATCAAAGGGGCAGTAGCAGAAAGGAATTCTAGGCAGAGGGAATGGCCTTGTGGAAGTGTGTAGCATGTAACAGCGTGTAGCATGCTACACGTAGCATGTAACAGCAAGTAGCATTAGATCGAAGAAGCTAAGTCATAAATTGTCGGGTGTGCAAGAGGAATGGGTAAGAGCCGCAGGTGGAAATACCTGTGCAGGTTATTCTATGCAGCCCCCAGTAAACTCAGTTGGATGGTCCAGCTTGATTTGTACCAGAAGTTAGATTTAAAACATTAGGAACGAGTGAGGCCTGATAAAATAGAGTTGTTCATTTTCTTCTCAAAGTTGGTAGTAATTGCTGAATTTTTCAGAGTCGGGGAAACCACCCCGAAGAGTTCCATTATTCCCATGAAAATTAGTAGTTCTTGTGGTAAGGAAATGTTTTGGGAATTGTTGATAATAGGTCTGTCAACAACTTTCAATTACATAATGCCCCTAGAAAGATCCAAATCTTTTTCATGTGTTTCTTTCATACTCCAGAAATAGTACTGGCAAACGTTCAGAGAAGGCAGAAATTTGCCAGAACATGCTCTTTAAAACCCCAGCTCACCTCTTTATGGAAACAATCTTAAACAAACCTCCTGCATGTCATTCAGACTTTATTACTTGACTTCAGTGTCCATATGCATCGTGTTAAGAATTGTATGCATGTTTAGGCGGGGAAAAAAAAACATTATTTTTTTCCGTTCTGAAGCTGGCTCAAGTGCTATAATTTGCCCTGACTCATAATTTTGATATTCACCTTTCTTTTAGTTAAAACTTTTACTTCCAGATCTTTGTGAATACTTCCAAAAGTGATTAAGAAACATCACAACACATGACTTGAAATACTTCATTGTTTTAAAAAAACATATTAAATTCATGAATGACATCGAAGATAAAAAGTAGTGCTATTTATAGGCCTAATTTATCCT